AAATAAAGTCAAACGAATGGTATTTGGTATGGTAACTTTTTTTGATAATTGGAACAAATTTTAGACCAAATGGTAGAAAAGATTATCATTTTAATGGACAATTTCCATAAAAAACGAAATCAAACGGACACCAAAACTTTCAACATTTTCCAAGTGAAAAATTATACAAATTAAACACAATTAATTAAAATTCTCAGTAAAACAATTTCTAAACAATTCAATTCCTTGTAAAAAATTTTCTTTCCACCCATTTCCACATTTGCAATCAAACGGACCCTTAGTAATATTGTATGAAATCAAATGTTAAATCTTACCATTACTCATTTTAAAAAAAGTTGTGTACCCGTTCGACTTTGACGGTATACGGGCGAGGAGTTTGTTAATGATTATATTTAAATGATAATATGTGTGTGTGTGTAATTTTTCTATCAATTTAAGCTTTTATATCAAGTGATTCAACAATGCAGTAGCGGCCACTAGATGCAATTCTGCTAAACCATTAACAGTTCATGTCCATGTCATATATCCAGCATACAAGGGGGAATTATCTGGCAGTGCAGTAATAGTTTCATTCTAATACTTGTTTTGAAGAGCATGTGAGCCAAAGAATTAAGTCAAACCATTGATATAAAATAAGCATCTTGTTTAGCTGTCTTTGCACAATACAAGACTCCAAAAAGAACAAATATTTAGGGATCTTATTTGTTCAGTTTTGACTTCCAAGTTATTCCCTCATTTCAAGCAATTTTTTTGACAAAATATTATCTTCTGTTTTCAGTTTCATGGTCCCAACCATGTACAAAAAATAATTTATGGACATAAAAATACTCCCATAGCAATAATTTGGGGAGTCTTCATTTCATTTATCTATACTTTCATGTGCTTTGCTTTGTCATAGATTCTTCTTCTCAATTCTCATTGAACCAACAGTCCTGAGCAAATATGGAGGAATCCAAAGGCAGAAGGAGCCCTTTTTGCATGCCCAAGCTCAGAGGTATTGGCTACACAAGAAAAAGCAATCGGTTATCGCCTATGTCGTTGCTTGATCGTTTTCGAGAGGCTGTTTTTCGGTTGATCATGTTTTCTGCTCTCTCCAAAGCTCAACATGTTAGTCGATCTTCCACAGATGCACAAATGCCTCATTACACAGTACATGATCCTCAATATAATGAAGCTGTTGCAGACTGTATAGAGTTCCTTAAAAAGTCTGCAGTCACAGACGACTTCGACTCCGGTGCTACAAATTCCATCGATCCTGCTACTTGACTTGTTGTAATGTAAACTTCTTGTGATCATCAATTATCTTGTAATCTGATCTTCAGCTCCTTTCTTCTTTCTGTTGTTTTGTTTGGCGTTAGAGGCTGTGATGGTGAAGGGATGGCTCAAATGCAATTTTTCAACCAGTAGATTGTTATTACAGGAATATATGTAGAAGTTAAGCTTATTTTTAAGCAATAATTTAACTTTAATCAATAAAAATAATCTTATTTTTAAAACTTCTATTGGCTTTTGAAGAAATATTATGAACTTAGGTCTGTTTTGAATTGATTTTAGAGTCCAACTTTTAATTCTCGAACGATCATAAGT